ACATTTGCAACATAGAAAAGACATTTGTATGGTTAATAGGAATTTTTACACTTGCATTTACATTTGCATTATCATTTTGAAAATTAATGTTTGCATCATAATTACACTTGACAATCTTGTAAATATTAAAGAAAGAGAAAAAGAAAATTTGAATGATTAGATTAACAAAAAGATATAATAGAAAAAGAGAAGGAAAAAAAAGAAACAATTTAGAAAAACAAGAATTGATACAAAACAATGAACAACATTTCTTAGAAAAATGTGAAAAGATTTTTTTTATAATAATGCCATCTTTTATTCAATTCTCTCATTGGTGACATTCGAGTTTTCTACATGTTTTCATTCTCTCGATGGTGATATCTGAGTTTTCTATATGTTTTATGATGATTTGGAGATTTTGTTTAAAACTCCACAGTGGTGATATCCTAACTTTTTCAAATCTTGATGGCGATATCTGAGTTTTAAATTCCAAGTTTTCAAATCTCAGTGGTGTCATCCAAATATTTAAAACTCCTAAGTGGTGATATCCAAACTTTTTCAAATCTTGGAGCTAATATATGAGTGTTCAAATCTCAGTTTTTCCAAATCTTGGTGATGAAATCTAACTTTTCATTAAAACTCTTTTGGTGGTGATATCTGAGCATTCAAGTTCAAGTTTTGTCAAAATTTTCTCGTTGGTGAAATCTAACCTTTTCTTAAAACTCTATCAGTGGTAAAATTCAACCTCCTTTAAAATTTTCTCGATGGTGATATCCGAGTTATTACAAAATCTATCAATGGTGATATCTGAGTTTTCTTCAGTGATAATATCCAAGTTTTCTTCGACGATGATATTTGAAGTCATTTGCTTTCATTTGATGGTGATATCCGAGTCCTTTTTAGTGGTGATATCCGAAGCCCCTTCGTTTCACTTAGTGGTATACCTAAGTCCCCTTTGGTGGTGATATCTAAAATCATTTGCATTTACTCAATGGTCATATCCAAGTATTTAAGTCTATATTTGCATCTTTTCTTCGGTGGTGATATCCAAAGATTTCTGTAGCCATTTGGTGGAAATATCCGAAGTCATCTGATTTTTTTATAGTATTATTCAATTTTTCATTTAGATTTGTTTTCAAGAGTTATGGTGCTTTTAATAAGAGAATTTTGTCAAAAAAAAAAAAAAAACCAACAACAAAAGAAAAAACTTTTCAAGATCAGACTTTCAAAATGAGATTTAAAAAAAAAATCCCTTGCTTATGTTTCTAGAAGCCCTTTGCTAAAAAAAAAAAAAAAACTCCAATAAGAAAACAAACAAGCACATGTAAATAAAGCCCTCTCACCCTTTAATGCCAAACAAAATTGGTGTTCTTGATATTTACATTATTTCTAATTTTCAGAATATGCGAAGAGGGACAACTGTAAATACCTAATTTTATTCTAACAAAATCTCGACCATTTATGAAGCGGTTCAAATTCAACATTCCTTTCATTTTGACAAGTTTCTAAAATTAAAATTTGAATCAATTTGATCCAAATATCCCAAAATCAACTCTAGTCAAACTTGGTTAAACAAAGTTAACATTAATCAAACTTAGTCAAAATTTGTTAAACTTAGTGAAAACAGAAAAAACCCAGGTCAACATTCAAAATTCTCAATCAAGTTGGAATCAATGAGGATTATGATTTTCAAAATATGTGAAGAAGGACAACTATAGATACCTAATTTTGTTCTAACAAAATCCCAACCATTTATGAAGCGATTCAAATTCAACATTCTTTTCATTTTGACAAGTTTCTTAAATCAAAATTTGAATCAATTTGATCCAAATATCCCAAAATCAACTCTAGTCAAACTTGGTTAAACAAAGTCAACATTAATCAAACTTAGTCAAAATTGTTAAACTTAGTGAAAATAGATAAAACCGGGGTCAACATTCAAAATTCTCAATCAAGTTGGAATCAATGAGGATTAAGATTGAAATTTGTAATTTATAAAGCACTAAAAAGTTTGATTTCACTTTGGGAAGTATAAAATTATCAAAACGCTTTTAAAGGGATTTTCATAATTTGGCTTTCTCAAAGTCAAATTTTCGTAAAAATATTTCAGGTCATAATTGAATCTTTTTTAATGATTTTTTATATGTTAAAAACCCATATCACACCTTGAAAGAAGTAAAATTACAAAAATACATTTAGAAATATCTTCATAATTTGACTTTTTCAAGGTTAAAATTTCATGAAATGTTTTAGATCATACTTTAATATTATTTGATGATTTTTAGAATTTTGAAAACCTTGATTGTACCTCTAGATGTGTGAAATTATCATAACACCTCTTAAGGGTAATTTCATAATTTAACCATCTCCAGGTCGATATTTTGCGAAACTTGTCAAATTATTATTTTGTAATATTTGATGATTTATTGCCTATTCAAAACTATAGCAATACCTCGAAAGATGTGAAATAACTAAATACACTTTAGGAGTAATTTCATAATTTTACCTTCCTAAGATCAAATTTTCATGAAAATTTTCATATCTCAATTTTATATTATTTCATAATTTTGATAATTCAAAATCACTAAAAGGAATATGAGAACATTGATTTTCAAGAAAATAATCTTAAAATCGAAAAACTTTATATTATGAGCAAAATGATCTTTTCACTTGGTTTCATGGCTGTAAAATCTAACTTTTAAAATGAACTATATAAACCATTGGATCACACGAGGAATCTTGATCCAATGCTCCTTGAAAAGAAAATAAGGACGAATTATGGACCACAAAATGTTTTTTAATCCAAGGGTTAACATTGATTTGCATGGGGAATATTTTCATCATCTTTATGGCTGGTCATACATTGATTTGCATTGGGAATATTTTCATCATCTTCATGACCGGCCATTCACGCTGAAAACCAAAAAAAAAAAAAAAAAGGGAAGGAAACACAAAAAAAGCAAGAGAAATTAAGAAAAAAATCTTGAAAAAATAAAAAAATAATCCTTGTGAAGAAAACTTGAAGGTATACTTTCTTTGTCATCTATTTTGCATTTTTTTTTTATCCTCATCACATTTTTCGTACCATTTTCATATTGTTTCTTCCCATTTTCTTTGTTTTCTTGAAATTTTTTAGTTCATCTTTTGTTTGTTTAAAGCTTTGAATCATCTTCATTTAATTAAGCAATAGTTGGTTTAAAACTATAATTCAAGAAACAAAAATCAAATCCATCGTATAACCAATCATTTTTAAAAAAACCAAAAAAAATTTTTTTCTTTCCAATCCAATGGCTCAATCTCTATGCAGAGTCAATGTTGAGACCCTGCAACTAGCATGCGGTATTAGAAACTGAAAATAAAGAAATCATTTACTTCAAATAGAAAAACAAAAAAGGAAAAAAATCTCATTTTTATTTTAATTGATTTTAAATTATATAATAAATATTAAAAAATCATTAAAACACAAAAATTTATAAAACATAAACCTCTACTTTAATCAAACAAACAAATAACAATCACAGAAAAAAAAATGACAAAATCTATCTTAAATATAAAAAAGGTTCAGATTTTTTATATTTAAAAATAAAAAAGTTAACCACCAAGAATAATAAAAACTCAATCAACTTATCTGAAAATTTTTTAAATTTTTTTATATTTGAAAAAAAAAATAGAAGTCACCATCAATACGATCAAATAATATAAAACTGCAAAAAATAAAGAAAAAACTTTAAAAAATATATCTAAAAGGTTTTCAAATTTCTTTAATTTTTTTAAGCAAATACTATGGGAGAAAAATAGGAAATCCTAAATGAATATAATTAAGAGAACCACTACCAATGGTTACTAACAAAGGCGGCAGCAGTGGAAGTGAAAAGACGAAGGAAAAGAAAATAAAGGGGTGAAAATGAAAGCTAGAAATTTTTAGAAAAACGAATAAAAATTAAAGAGAAGAAAGGGACGAAAGAAACGGGAGGATACAAGAAAGTGAGAAGGCTTTAGGTCTTACAAAAGGGGCGGTAGTTGGAAAATTAGAGAGAGAAAAAGAGGAAAAAGTGAGTTGGATTTTGTTTTTGGGAAGGGAAAACAAAAAGAAAAAGAAAACGGGCCCATTTAATGCATCTAATTAATATTTGTCGTCTTGACTCAATAAAAATGGTCTAGATTAATGGACCTACATACTACATATCTAACTTATTAAAATGAAATTACACCAAACATATTTTGATGATCATTTATTATGTTTTTATTGTTCCTTCCGGCAAGTTAACTCAATTTTTTATTTTTTAAATAATCATATTAATAAAAATAAATTTTAAAAGTTTTTCAACAATATAAATTTGTAGACAATTTATACGATATGTTTCTCAACAATATTTTTTTAAAAAAATAATAATATAGTAAGTTAACTTCAAAAAATAATATTATAGTATTTCACTCAATCTAAATAAAAAATATGGTTAGACCCCATACTTGACAGATATGATTAGCAATCAATCAAAAGTAAAAGAATATATACTAAATTAATTGAATTTTATGCATAATTTTAAAATTTTAAATCTCAATAAAAAGGGTCAAGAATACAAAATAAACAAAATTAATAAATAAATTAAATATTATTATTTTTAAATTTTAAAAATCAATATTTTAAAACAATTATCTTGATTTATTATTATTGTTATTATTAGTATTTTTAATGACTATTGTTATTATTTATAATTTTTTAATTTAATAATATTTTTTAATAAATAATTTTTTAAAAAACGTCATGCATAGCGATGGCATCATTCTAGTTTTAGAAATAGAGATACCTCATCAAAAAATTTCGTAAAATATAAGCTCAGGGGCTAAAATATAACATTAACCACAATGTATATATTGGATTGGGAATTGGGATTAAACAAAAACAGGTGAAGTACTCTAAGTTCACCTCTTTTCGCCCTCGTGCTCTTTTCCTTTTAATTTGATTAAAGAAAAGAAATGCATAGCAAAAAAAAAAAGATACTTTGAAACTTTGGCATCCATATTCCACCACCCACCCACAACAGATTTCCAACAACAAACTCCCAACAGTGCCAACTCTTGACCCAAAATGCCAAACCATTAAACAGAATAGTTACAAGAAACTGAGGTTGTTGAGGAAGATGGAGAATCAGACAACAAGCTACCCTTCCCATTATCTTCTTCCTTGTTCCTGGAAGCACCAACTGGATCATCCGACACTCATTCCTGGTTTTCCTCACTTTCATTAGGCCCTATGCCGAATATCAAATCAATGTTATCCTCAAACCCTGTATCGTGATTAAACAAGTTTGGTAATTCATCGGTTCTTTCGAGACCAAAGTCCGAATCCCAAAAAGGTGTCAACCCTGAATCCATGTAGAAACTCCATGCTAGCTCATTGCTATCAGTTGTCTCCATACCAACCATTGTCGCATTGTCAGTACATATAGGGAGCTGCATTTGCATGTACTGAAAATGTTGGTGCTTGTCAGTTTCTTCTTCTCCTTGTTTCGGTTCGACTTCTGCTTCAGCTCGTTGAGCTTCAGGCAAATCTGGGATTTGTTCTTGCGTTTGATCTAGAAATAAAATTCCTTTCTGCTTCAAACGATCAATGTAATGGCTAATATCAAAATTGGTCACGGCATTGGCCCCTCTGTACTCTAATGCTGCCATATCATATGCTGCTGCTGCTTCCTCTTGTGTGTCTTCAAAACATAAATAAATGAATAATTAATCAATAAAATCAGAGACAGATGAACAAATTATGAAAAGATGACTTTAAGTATAGCAGGTAAAGGTACGATATGGGATTCACATGTTGCTAACCTGATTAACTTTATTAATATTTTTCAAGAGTAAAATATATGTGAAAACATGCATCAGAGATCTGAAATAACCGACTATTGATGTGGTTTTGTTCATCCAAATCTAGTCTTGTTTTCGAGGCAACATGTTAGCATTATTGTAGGGAAAGTGCAAGGATCATGTTTGGCTTGGAAAAGAAGTACAAGGTCAAGGCACAGCTCTACTTTTTGAACTAATATTTACATATCCTGAACGACAATTTCCTCGGTACGGCTGGTCATCTGACACAAGAATGAACATTGTCTAACAGTTCATTTGAGACCTAAGCAGCGGGCTATCCACCGCACCGACATATGCGTTTTACGGATGCTTTTTCGTCTTTCCCTCTATCCTTGCTTAGGTAGTTGGAAAGTTGACAAAAAGTCGCATATTCAATTCATTAGAAATGAAAAGAAAAGTCATAACCCTTTGTTATTAGTGAACAACTCCTCAACCAATCTCAAATTAGGCAACCTGAATTATCAAATAAATTGTAGTTTAGACGGTAAAATTTAAAAAGAAATACAAAGAATATATGAAAAAAAAATTCAAACAAAAATCCTATATAAATTTGATAAAACAAAAAAATATATTTTAAATTAGGTGTGTCCATATGAATCATAATATAATAATTTTTATATTTTATATATATTAAAAATAAATTAATAAATAAATATAAATAAATAAATTATTTAATTTAATAAAGTTTATGATTCGGAATTTTGACCAGTAAAAAAGATTCTAGGCCAATAAAAAGTTGTCCCAAAATGAACAAAATGATGCCAATCACTATTGGACAGCTAAGCTTAAGCCAAAGGAGTTAGGCAATTTAGCCGAGGCCAAAAAGCCAAACTTCTCCTAAGCCCAAGGCACGTGATCTCCGTTGCCTCCTAAAAATAGTAAGAATAATAAAATTTCTGACTACTGCAAATGAATCTCCTAATGGGAGAGTGGTGTTCACGTGCCATGCTGCCACCATTTTCATGCAAATAAAAAAGAAGTAAATTAAGACACATATATCTCATTTAATTACAGAAATGCCATTCTACTGATGGAGATTGGTTTGAAGAATTAAAGTTGGCATCTAGTCACATTCAAAGATATTTTAGCTTTTTTTTTTTTTTTTCAGCCCAGATTTTTTTTTGTTTTTAGCATTTTACTTTATTAAAAGTTGTTTTCAAATAAATAAATAAATAAATACTCCACTACTCTACTGATTAACCAACTTGTATTTGATTAAAAATAAGTAAATAGCCAAAATTTTAAAATTTCCATTCATCAAGAAAAGTTAAAATCTGTTTAATTCTTTATTTCTTCAAAATTTTTCTCAATTGTTTTTTGTCAATATTCATTTCTTTTATAATTTCAGCAATACAAAAGACCCCATCATTTTTTTTTCCTAAGAATAATTTTGCTTATACGTGACGGGTATGCATCGAAAACTAAGCTAACGATATGATTTTAGAATTTTATTTACTTGGGACGTTTTACATGCAATCAGAAAAAAGGGGAAATACTTCTAAAATAGAAGAAAGAAAGAAAAAAAATTGTCTTGATTATATTCATGATTTTAGATCTATTAATTTAAATATGATATAATAAAAAAATACAAAATAATATAAAAATGATTAAATTTAAAATTTTATAAAATATATATATTTGATATATCAAAATGAATTACGATACAATAATTTTTATATTTTATATATTTTAAACACAAAATAAAAAACATTAACAAGAGATATTGAACCCTACCAAACCTTGGGTTCCAATTAAAATCTCCCCTTAAATGTATATGAAATGTAAAGAGAATTCCTTTTGGATATTAAAAATATATAAGCAGAGAGAGGGAGGGGGGACTTACTATAGATTCCTAAATAGAGATATTTGTTCCCAAAAACACGACCAATTCGGGCTTCCCACCTCCCATTGTGGTGATGCCTGCCATCAACATACCTCAATTAGATTCAACTCTTACACACTTTAGTCAAAAAAAATTTTCAATACCTACTTTCATTATAGCAATAAGATTGATTGCCTCTCCTATGCCTACACCTATATTTTAAAAAATAATAAAATTGAAAAACGATGGAGAAATATGAATTGAACTACATATACCTAGCCACCCCACGGTACTTAGAAACTCCCCTTGAAAATCCACTGCTCCGCCGCCTTAGAGATGCCAAATACTCTTCCTTTGATACCTTCTTCATTTCTTCAATCTCTTTCTCATATCTTTCTATCTGCATTTTTTTTATTATATAAGTTCACAAATGCTTTATTTTATTTTGCTCAATTAAGCTAATTGAAATTAACGAGAAAATCAAGTTAGATTATTATTATTTAAAGATTTTATAATATTTGATATATTATTAGTATATAAATTTTATATATTATCAATAAATCACAAATTTTTATTATTTTTAAAAATAAATATTAAAATTTTAATTTTTTTAAAAATAATTTATTAATAAAATTATATAATCTGATTCATTATCAATGTATACAAATATTAATAGTACATAAAAAATAAATTCTTATTTCAAATACCGAAAAATTCAAGGTGGTTTCAGGCCCCCAATACTTAAGGGCGGCGAGATCATAGGTTCGAGCTGCAGCCTCCTCACTGTCATAAGCTCCTGCACGTATAACAATTATCATAATTTTCCACAAAACCCATTTTGTTTCTTAAATTAAATAAAAATAAATGAATAAAAACAAAAATATATTATATATTATTTACTGAATTATTATAAAATTTTTAAGGAGAGAGAGAAAGTGAATGACTTACCCAAATAAACTAGGAGGCGACAAAAGTGTAAATGAAAGTTAGGACGGAGGAGAGATAAATCAGGAATAAAACCCAAAAAAAAAAAAAAGTCAGTACACAGAACAGAACCACAAAAAACCATATAAGATCTCCTTGATTTTTTTTTTGTTTTACTATTTGTTTTTCTGAAAGGAAAAAATGAAAGGAAAATTTTAATTGAATTGAATTGAATTTACCTTGTCTTCCTTTCTTGTTCTGAATGTTATTCCACGAACTCTTGTCCCAAAGGTGAGCCTCAAACCTCCCAGTCCATCTATGCCTGTGTGAAATGCTAAATCTCATACATGCTGATTAACCAAAACCAACAGTTAATTTGAGCAAAAAAAAAAAAAAAAAAAACCTGGTGACTCCTCTATAAATGGAGCTCCTTCTGCCAGAGTTAGGACTGTTAGCAGTAGCATTCAAGCAGCATTTCTGATCAGAGTTTTGATGTTTTCTTGGCCTTTTAGCCTTGGGTTTCTCTGATACATTTTGAGGAGATTCAGACGATGAGGAAGAAGATGAAGGAGAGGCAGAGGAAGAAGAAGAAGAAGTTGGAGACCTCTTCATTTTTCTTTTCTAAACAATGCGAAAAGCGTGATCCTAAGAGATTGGCTTTGGCAACATAAGCTGAGGTTTTTTTTTTATTATTTTTTTATTTTTTATGTTTCCTCTTGTGAGATTTTACTCTCTATATATATAGTGATGATGATGATGATGAGTTTGGGTTGTAGGGGTGACCAAAAGTTGTTTACCAAAACGAGTAGAGAAAGGCAAGAGGGTGGAAGAATAGGAACAACTGAAATGTGGTAAACCACAAAATGGGGTTAAAATGGGGTTTGGAATTTAGAATAAATATGATAATTTTAGACGTCATGCCATGTTATAATATAAAAATATATGAAAAAATACAAAAATAATATAATATAAATTTGATAAAAATAAAAAAATTATATTTTATGTTTAACGTATTTATGTAATTATAATAAATAATTTTAATATAAAATAAATATAATATAATACAATACACGAACTGTTAAATCAACTTTATAAAAAAAGTAAAAGATTTAGTTAAATGTTAATTTAGATAAAGAAATGGCCTAACACTTGGCTTGTGTGTGCAGCCATGCCGCCAATAGGATTTGTTCGCTTAGGTTGGAAATTTTATTATTTTCTCAAAGAATCTGTCTGTCCAACCCATTTTTTTTCGTATAAAAAATAATTATCATCCAAAAAATGAATATACGAAGGTAGAACTTGAAAGTTACACAAGCAAATTTATAAGTAAATCTGTCACATATTGGTTCAATTATAGCTAAAGGATTCATATTCTAATTAATATATTAACATGTTTAATTTTAAATGTATACGTGACAAATTTTTAAATTTATTTATAAAATTTTAAAATTATATCTTCATATTTAAAATAAATGTTTATATTTAATACATTATTAATATATAAATTTTATAGAATTATTAGTGAATAATATAACACTACATCATTAATGAGAAAACATAAAATTTTATAAACACTTAAAAATAAATATATAAAAATTTTACAAGTCTTTAAAAATAAATACACAAAAACTTTATTTTTTTTATTAATAATATGGTATCATATGATAGTATATAAAATCTATACACTAATAATATATCAAATATAAACTCTTATAATCAATAATCAATGAAAAAAAGTATAATTCAAGTTCACTATTATTGGTGCTAAGCTTCGACCTGAGGATATTCTTGTAAATACAAAAAGGAATGATGATTAAAGGTAAAAACATGAAGTGATCCTTATGTTTGCACTCCGATGCATAAGTTAATAAAGATCATATTGAAAAGAAAGTAGGAAGGAGAGAGAGAAGTGGGTGGGATGAACATAGCTTCATGGTGCCTGAATCTTCATATTTATAGGTAATCTGAAAGGGATTATAAGGGGATAATTAAAATTGGGCTGAGCTGAAGTGGCATTGACTATGTTAGGCCAACTTGACATGTCTGATTGGCATAAACGACAAAGATGCCCATGGTTGTTTGCTGAAAGCTTTGAGATGGGAAAATACCACTATACCTCTTTTACCATCAAATACCCCTAACACTCTGTTCCCCTATTAAATGGTCTGAGTATTAAATCATCAAATTTATTATTGATGTCCTAAGTGTGGGACAGATTGGCAACTTGGTTTGTTGAAGGCTAACATTGCAAAGGGAGGTCAATTTTGAACGATGACTAGCTTTGAGCCACTCATCTGATCTTTTGTGTGTGTTTTGGATTGAATGCACAATCGATCTAAAGGTTATAGAGATGATAATTGTCTGGGATTATTTGAGATAAGTGTTGGAGTTCATCTAACCATGGTGAGACTTGTATTTTTTTTCAAAAATTTGAATCTAAACCTTTATTTTGGACCCTGAAAGTGAACCGAACTCTCAGCTTATCCCTAACAGTTATCTGATTTAAATTACCCATTTTGGGGTTCATCCAATCAGGCCAATCTGATAGCATTAAATGAAGAGAGAAATGGTTTAAAAGAAAAACTTTAAAGCAAAAAGATAAAAAGACATCTACCCGCCCATTCTTTAACACGTGGCACAAAACGTGTCATTCATCTAGTCTACAGTGTGTCTATATAAAATGTTGGTAAGGCCTTAGTTTTCCACTTTTTACTTTCTTTACTCTAAATCTGACCTAAAATTTTTTATCTCAATAGCTTTCTAGCCTTTAAAATTTTTTTTACACCAACTTCAGTACATATTTCTAACCATATCTTTAGTACAAATTTTTGAGAGGCTGAAAGTTATAGGGTAAAGCCAAGAGAAAGATAGCGACGGCAGCAGGATGATGACATGATCCCCCTATTATTGGGGGGCTACAACTATAAAAATATGGCTTAATGTTTAACCCGATGTCCGAGGAAAGGTAGTGGTGCAATGAAAAGATTACTCGGGATAGAGGTAAGTGAGTTTTGAGCATGAAAGAGCTGTGTGCTCAGATGACTTTGAACTTCAAAATCTACCTATTTTCCTCATCTCTCAGGTTGGTCCATCTTCTATGGCTGATTTTCATTCTTTTTTGGTTATTCCCCTTTCTGAAGTTCAATCTCTTCCACCTCTTGCTAGTTCTACTCTCTCATTTCAATCAGTTTTTCTAAACATCTCATCTTCTCCTAAGAGGTCTCCACTTTATCTTTTTTTCTTTGAGATCAAGCTACTTTCATTCATTGTTCTTTTTTGGGATCTATTTCCCATCCAACAGTCAAATTCTTCTAATGATGAAGGTTTTGAAAAGGAACAAGAAAAGGGGAGCACCTTGATCAAAGAAAGTGATGAAAAGGAAAAAAATATTATTGACTAGGACAAACTCATCAAGGTCCCTATATATACTTCATATGACCTCGGCATGATACCTAAAGACATGATGAACGAGCTAAAAGGTAAGGCAAATCCAAAAGACTATCCAAACATATGCTCAGCTCATCATGTTCATGCTTTGGGTACCATTTTCTTTTTTCTCGGAGAGGGATACAATATAATAACACTGAACTCTTTAGATCGAGTCACTAATAGACTAGAGCCATATTGGCTCTACGTATATTAGGATTCATTCATGGCTAGTCTGAGGTTTTCACTTTATTATTTATTTATTTTAATTTTTAATTCTTACAATTCGACTATCACTCAGTTCACCCCAAATTTTATTTGATACATAATTGTTTTTATTATTCTTTGTTAACAATTAAATATTCTACATGTAAGGAAAACTTGTCATCGATGATCACGAGCAAACCTCCCTAGAAGTAATAAATAGGATGAAGTATTAGGGTAGGTTTAAGGTAATCTCACAGGGTTTTGCTTTAAGTTAATTTTTTATCCAATTGTTAGCTCGATTTTATTGAGATGGTCGATAGTGAGGACTTCAATGTATAGCTGTACCAATACACCTCGAGGCCCAAAAAAGGTAAAAAAAAATCTAGCTTAGGACTTTTTCTTGTGGGGGAGACAATATGATCAGCACTTCTATACCCCACTCTCCCTTAGGTCACAAGTCCAAAGCTAGTGCAAGTCACGACCTATCCTCTACATTAGTGTTGATATTACCCTCTTTAGCTAAAATACTGTAGGTGGAGATCTTGTCATTTGTTCCTAATAACCCCAAAACTACAATGGTATGGCCTAGCTCAGAAAAAATATCTGTAGGGTTGGAATATGTTCCAACGGATGATCTCATCTTTAACCTTAACATTGTCAAAAGGTTTTATAAAGTTGCATTTCTTCCTCTTAGTGAGTATCTTCTGATCTCAGCTCTATTTCTTATTATTATTATTATTATTATTATTATTATTATTTTAAGTCTAAAATTTTTTCATACAATCCAAAAGAAGTTCTTACCTCAGCCTATGGAAAACAGCAACCAAGCCCTCCATCACGTTTATCTTACTATGAGACATATGCTGGAAGTTGAGAAAGTTATGGCTACCCTTACCGAAGAGCATAAGAAAAGTTCAAAGACACTAGGTAACGTTAAGTCAAGCCTCAGTACATCCCACAAGAAAGAGACTGAGCTGAGAAAAAAAATGAATGAGCTAACAGTGAAGTTAGAAGCCCTCTCGATTGACAAAGCCTCAACCGATTATGAAAGAATAGGTTGAGCTAAAGCTTAATGATGTTCAGACCGAAATCGTAAGGCTAAGGTTTCAGTTGAAAGCCTGGGATAAAAGAAAAGAAAAACTGAAGGTAAAGGCTATGAAAGAATACAAGGCTTCCGATAAGTGTCTCTTGATAAAGGTAGAGTTTTTAAAAAATAACGTACTTGATGCCTTTCAGCTGGCTAAGGATGAGGTACAGTTCAAATTCTTCTCTTTCAATCTTAACCTTTTTTATATTGACATCAACAATATTAGATCGAGGCTTTGTCAAAATCAACTCAAAGAGGATGAGAAAAAGAAAGATGAAGATAAGGCTCTAAAGATGAGCTTTAAGCCACTCTGAGGATTGAAAAAAAAATATATGGAGGTCATTGAAGGTGACATTGTCCCTTTTACTCCTACTGATGAGAGTGCTCCCCCCACCACTTTACTATTGATGAATAAATTATGTAATTTTTTATTTTTGACTTTGTAAATTTTTTACTTTGAGTTCAGCTTTTTGTAATGACCTCTTATACTTTAACTGATATATTTTGTCACAACGAAATAGAAAGAAATACTTTTTTAAGTTTTAATTTTTGATTTACCATCGTTTCTTCCTTTTTTGCACAAGTTTGAGATCAGGTAACCAATCTAAAGGTGTCATTTCTTTCTTACATAATTGTTTAAATCATATGAACATAATTATAAATTCTAGGTCAGATTTTTTTAAATCACTTAAAGGCAAGCTTATCGAAGATAATTTAATTCATGTGTTAGCATGAAAAATAATATAAGTGTAAGCTCGGTTTAAATCGATCTACTGGTAATAGAGTTAGTTTGCATTTCACATCTTTGGGATGGTTATGCCATTTACAAAATAATACAAGTGTGAGCTTGATTTATTCCAAGCTTATCTTTAAGTTGTCTGCATTTCACGTCTTTGGGATGATGTCACCATTCAGATCTTATCATTTGTAGGTTTTATCATGAATGACCTTCTTAATAATATATGGTTTTTCCTACGTCGGGTCAATTTGCCATCTTAGTCATCTA